GGGGGGGGGGGGGCTTTTGGTGAGTAGGGGGGCGCATTGAGGAACCTGGCCTTGGGGCAGGAGAGAGAGTGAATAAGGCCCTGGGGATGACCTACCCTTTAAGTGCACCTGTGGCCCCTGGACAGCAGGACGTTCAGTGACGGGATGAACTGTCCGGGGGGCCCCAAACCCCGGCATGCTCATTATCAATATGTGAGCAGAGCCGCCCCAGCCACAGCAGAAACCAGACTCCGGATGTCTGTAGATATTAGGAGGAAGTCCTATGTGCAGCCGTGACTCCAGCGCAGTTCCACAATGTGAACAAGTCAGGTTCAATTGCACTGCACAGTGATGGCATCCTAACATGTTTCAGGCACAGGGGAAAGGAGATGGCGGTAATTAGGCAACAAACAGTAGGCACAGGCCTCAAGCTCATTCTCAGTTTAATGAATAGGCTGAAAGCAGTGCAGTCAGTGACACCAGAACCCGGTTATCTTGCAGACTATGAGTAGTGGTGTCATCTTTTGGTCATGTGACTTGCAGCTGCTGGTCACGTGTTCTTCAGTAAGGCGGGATCAGGCACAGTGATTGACAAGCTACCGGTCTGTGGAAGTCGCGTCTGCGATTAAGGATTGGGTGGCTGGGCGGGGCCGTGGGCGGGATTTGCCAGACTGCAGTTGGTCCTCCGCTGCGCCGGGTGTCGCTATCACGTGACCGCTGAGATCGAAGCTGCAGTTGATCCGTACACCGGGCCCTGCTGACCGGGAGAGCCATGGAGATCGGGACCGAGATCAGCCGCAAGATACGGGTGTGTGACCGAATATCCCTACACCTTTGTCTGTGGGAGGGGTATGGTTCTTTAAATGGCCCTGTGTGATTGTATAGGAGGGACTGTCTCTGGTGCTCACATGTGACCCCCTCCCCCAGAGGAACTGACCCTGTACTTATATCTGACCCTTCATGAAACTTCCTTGACTGACCCCAATTACAGGAAATGTTCCTTTTACTTTCCCATATGTGCCACCTGAGAGGACTTCTCCCTGGAAGTGTCCCTAGAAGTGGGACGTTGGGGAGGGACGTCGGGGGGCACGCGGATACCTCTTTATGGGGTCAGTGGAGGTGAGTCTGGTCTGCGCTCTGTGCCGGCGGTGCATTGTACATGAAGTGTATATATATATATCGGCCCCTTCTCATTCATTCCTCTCTTCCTTACAGACGGCCATAAAGGGGAAGCTGCAGGAGCTGGGAGCGTATGTGGGTGAGTCTTTCCTTGGTATATATCGGTCTGTGTCACGCAGGAGCTGACCTCTATTCCCCTCACTCGCACCCTCAGTGGGCTGAGCCGCTCAGAATAACAAGCGGGTAGATTGTTCCAATAATAGAGAAGAAGAATTGTTGTTGTGTGAGAGCCGCGTGCCGTGGATCAGAGCCATGGAGTCCAACCTGCACCCGAGGGCCACCACAGCTGTGTTTCTCTATTGCCCTCCAGTAGTCTCTGACCATCCCCTGTAGCAGCCTCATAGTCTCTGACCATCCCCTGTAGCAGCCTCATAGTCTCTGACCATCTCCTGTAGCAGCCTCATAGTCTCTGACCATCTCCTGTAGCAGCCTCATAGTCTCTGACCATCTCATGTAGCAGCCTCATAGTCTCTGACCATCTCCTGTAGCAGCCTCATAGTCTCTGACCATCTCCTGTAGCATGCCTGTATTCTCTGACCATCTCCTGTAGCATGCCCGTAGTCTCTGACCATCTCCTGTAGCATGCCCGTAGTATCTGACCATCTCCTGTAGCATGCCCGTAGTCTCTGATCATCTCCTGTAGCAGGAGAGCTCCTCCATCATTCTATGTCTGAAAATCAGTCATTGTAAGGCCATGATTGCAGATTGTGGGAGGAACGTACACTCTACAGGAAGTGTCACCGGCGGAAACTCACACTTGGCACCTCGGTGCTGCAAATCCCGAGTGTTAACCATCTAGCCGCCGTGCTAATATTTCTTTCTGTTCTTCTTCCTCCCACCAGATGAGGAGCTCCCGGATTACATCATGGTGATGGTGGCCAATAAGAAGAGTCAGGAGCAGATGACGGATGACTTGTCGCTCTTCCTTGGGAGTAACACCTTGCGCTTTACCACATGGTAACACCTTCTATATGTGTCTCTGTCCCGCATGCTATGGGTCTTGGTGGCATCATAGGGGGCTTGCTGGTTCTACCAACCAGGGGGTCCTGGTGTTTATGGATGACTTGATGGCTATAGCGGGGAGCCATGGTGGCTATATATGTCTTGGTGGCTATAGCACTTGTCCTTGGTAGCGGACCCCTGGGGTAGAGTATTGCTCACTGGCGGACCCCTGGGGTAGAGTATTGCTCACTGGCGGTGAGTAAGACGTTTTCAGCCGGTAGCTTATTGTTCTCCTCTTTGTGCAGAGTCGGGAGGACGGCTTGAAGTACTGCCAGTGTATAGGAGTGTATTCATAGGGTGTCAGTGTATAGGAGTGTATTCATAGGGTGTCAGTGTATAGGAGTGTATTCATAGGGTGTCAGTGTATAGGAGTGTATTCATAGGGTGTCAGTGTATAGGAGTGTATTCATAGGGTGTCAGTGTATAGGAGTGTATTCATAGGGTGTCAGTGTATAGGAGTGTATTCATAGGGTGTCAGTGTATAGGAGTGTATTCATAGGGTGTCAGTGTATAGGAGTGTATTCATAGGGTGTCAGTGTATAGGAGTGTATTCATAGGGTGTCAGTGTATAGGAGTGTATTCATAGGGTGTCAGTGTATAGGAGTGTATTCATAGGGTGTCAGTGTATAGGAGTGTATTCATAGGGTGTCAGTGTATAGGAGTGTATTCATAGGATGTCAGTGTATAGGAGTGTATTCATAGGGTGTCAGTGTATAGGAGTGTATTCATAGGGTGTCAGTGTATAGGAGTGTATTCATAGGGTGTCAGTGTATAGGAGTGTATTCATAGGGTGTCAGTGTATAGGAGTGTATTCATAGGGTGTCAGTGTATAGGAGTGTTGGCATTCAGCAATGTGATGGTATTGGAGCTGCCATTCCGGACTATTTTCAGGCCGCAGGCTCCGGTGCTGTCATTCTTATCCTTCCTTCAAGCTCGGTGAGTCTCTGACCTGGAAGAAGTATGCAGCCAATGAGGCGTCGGGACGCATTCTTGGTTCAGTTATCGGCAGGTACAGAAATGTTTCGCAGTTGCAGATATTCGCAGCACGGCCACGCAGATGTTCAGAGTTTTACCGACTATTCCCTGTAAGAGGAATATGACGACTGCTATTGCTGTCCTGAAAATGCTGATTTGCTGGCTGTAGTACTTTGAGTCTCTGGCCTGGAACTATCATTCAGCAATGCAGTCGGAACCAAACGACGTGATCTGCGTACATTTGCAGAATCTCGGATCACATTGAAGCCAGCGGATTACCTTTACAGCCAGTACTGACATAGGTCATCAGTGGCTTCTGTATTTCTCTCAGCACAGTTCTGTTCATTGCTTATCTGCGGCTCTTCTTGTTTTGCAGGTTGCAGGGCGTGCTGGATAAACTACGTGCCGTCACTCCAGGTCAGTACTTCGGAGTGGTGTTTGTATTCTAAAGTGAGACTCGGCGTCCTCATCCTCCGCCATAGTCCGTGTTAGCTGATCAGTCACCGCGGTCTGGCTCCCTGTGCATGGAATATAGAACATGAGTGGCCACTGTGGCTTCTCCCTCCCCTGGCCACCCATCTAGTAGTCCCTCGTTGTAGTCTATTCGCCAGCGGCGACGTAATTACACTGCCATTTGTGGGAGGACCCGGAGATCTCAGACTCTCACTCTGCCCAGGCTCACTTCCTAACTCCTGGTCTGCCCTGCCCACCATGACATCATACCTTGACTGACAGGTCGCAGGACTCCTGCTCTGTAATGCCCACTCACTCCTGCTGAAGTCCTACCCAGTGACTGCAGAGTATGTGACGGTCTTGGACCTCGGACCTGCATGTCACTAAAGAGGCATGCATTGGGCCTATAGGTCCCAATATCCTCCCAATCACAGCAGTGGTGGGCGGTAGTCCTGACGAGGAGAGACACATGGTAAGTCAATGCAGGCAATCCGGCAGCGTTCACCCGCACAGACTCCGTGGGACAAAGAAGACAGCACTGGATCAGAGACCGGCACCAGCGCTGGAGGGACTGCTGAAAACTACTAGAAGGAAGATGATCGGATCAAGAGGCATCATATACACCAGCATGGGGGGGGTTAGACTGCAATGTCACTTTAAGTCCTGGGTTCATATTGAGCTTTAAAGGAGAACTATGAGGGGGGGTGCTTTTCACTCACCTCATAGTTCTAGCCGTCCTGTGACAATGAGACTGTCACAGGTCGGCTCAGTAGATCGGGAGGTGAGCGAACACATACCGGCGTTCGCTCACTTCTCGATCCTGTCACGTGACAGGGGAGGGGCTGGATTCCCCCTCCCCGCTCCGATCCTCCAGCGTTGACTGGCGGAACGGACGGGGGAGGGGCGGGTACAGCTGGCTCTTCCTCTAGATAGGCAGAGCCAGCTGTCAGTCACGCAGCTGGGCGGATCTCGACATAGATGTCGGGATCCGTTCCGGCATCTCAGTATACCGCCAGCTGTAGCTCCCTATATACTGAGCCTAGGGTGGCGGGAGGACGCTAGTTTGTGTCCTCCCGTTACCCTAAGGAGAACTATGGGGAAAAACACTGACCCCATAGTTCTCCTTTTAAAGGAGAAATTAAAATAAAAAGTTAGGCTTTAATATCACTTTAAGGATAAGTTGGACATCGGGAACATTTCTGGGACTGTTTTCACATTTTCATCTTGTGCTGTCTGTGGATAGAAGTGCAGCCGGCTGTAATTCTGGGCTGATAGTAATCAAAGTGAATCACATTCAGACCTTCTAGCTGACCCTGACACTGCTGCTGGAACACAAACCTGATATCCGATAGTAATACAATGACTTCATCTGTTCAGGATCCAACAGCTTGAAAGCCTCAGAGGCCATCATCTTCAATAGCACTATGCCACCCCTGAAGAGCCAGAGCAAAGAGGATTCTGGGAGAGATCTTCAGCCGCCGCGGCAGGAGAAGTTCCACAGCACGGTGCCCAGCGGCTCTCAAGCACAGCGCGGCTCTGACAGGTAATGTGTCATTTATGTATTCTGCTTCATCTTTCTAAGGAACACTCCAATCGGTGTGTCACTGAGGAGCCTAAATTGCATTTTGGGATGCAGGGGAGGGGGTCGAATCTGTGCTTTGTACTTTGGCTATACACCTATAGATTATCTGCAGATGTTCTATGGTCACATGGAAAACCGTGCAAATCCCCCCCTCCCCCCCCCCTCATAGTTCTGCTTTAAACCCCTAAACCATTCTTTGTTGGCCACACTTACTTGCTTAGTCTTTCTTTCCAGGTCGTGCCATGCTGCAGAAAATCTACTGTCAAATGTTGCTCACTACACGTTCTCTTATGGGGTGGCTACGCTGCCTTGAGGGGTCTCCCTGGAGCTTCGGGTAGCCACCCGTATGTGCTCGCTGCATGACAAGCTGCATAGAACCTACACACCTTAAGGGATGTTAGGGATGCTTGATCTCACAGCTCGACTCCGCCCCAGCCCAGCCCATGTCTATACCCGTACAGATATGCTGCGTATGTTTAAGCACCCAGCCCCTTTCTCTGCAGTGGAAGAACCTGTGAAGGTAGTCCTTGCTTGTGGGCTGAACTGTACATTGCAAAACATTAAAGCCCACCTCCAGGCACAAATGTCTTACTAGTGTTAGAGCTGTTGAAGCCTCCCTTGCCTTACAATCCACCTCTGGTGTAAACGCTTTCTTCTACATCCCCCAGATCTTATTGTGGATATGCTGGAGCATCCTGGCCACTCCAGATAGAAGTACTGCAGGTCCCAGTAGACCCCGGGGCGTGGAGCGTGTCTCGGTAGACCCCGGTGCGTGGGTCGCGTCTCGGTAGACCCCGGTGCGTGGGTCGCGTCTCGGTAGACCCCGGTGCGTGGGTCGCGTCTCGGTAGACCCCGGTGCGTGGGTCGCGTCTCGGTAGACCCCGGTGCGTGGGTCGCGTCTCGGTAGACCCCGGTGCGTGGGTCG